GATCAGGACGCCCGCGCCACAGCGTATCCGGGAGAGGGAGGAGTGACCCTCAGTCGCCGCAAATCCTCCGTGGAGTGCCGCTGAAGATGCTCTTCGCACTCACTGGGAAGCCGACAGTGAAGAATCATGGGAGACGTTGAAGGTGATCGCTTGGACATGCGTGCCTCCGCGAGGCCAAGCTCACCACCCTCACCTGTCAGTACATTAATACCGTCCCTCCTGATGTCTGTCAAGGAGGCCATCATGGAGAAAAACTAGGCAGTTTCCCCATTGTAGAACTTCTATCTCTTTTAACCGTTCCTGTTGTAGAAATTGAATTGATCCGAAATGGTGATCGCTATGCTACTCCTTATTCACACTGTGTACACGTAGAAGACCTGTTGTTGGAACAAACACACCCTTGGTGTAGCGCGTTTGTACGTATCCAAGGAGTGGCTGGTATGCAGCCATGTCCTAGAAGAAACTGAATACTAGTAAAAACTAAAGAGAGAAATTTCCCGCGCGTTTGTATGTATCAGCAACAATACAGTACATCAGCTTTTCTTTCCTGAGCAATAGCCGGCCTGTATTGAAGCTCATGATCAACACAAGCCAATGAACACACACGAGCTCAATGGATAGCTCGACACTCGAGCTAAATGCACAAGTTTTGATACCCTGGATTACTTACCAATACAAAGTTGTTTAACGAAGCATTGACTTTGACAAGATCAAGATCGGTGGATCGATCCAAGATTTACTTGCAACTGGATTTTACTAAGTGGTGCATTAATTGGCCGTACTGTCCAGATTGCATGAATTGACTTTGATTTAGTCTTTTCTAGCCGCCATCTTGAACTCTTGATTTATGCTATTCTGCTAGTGGGACAAACATGGTCTTGTTAACTGGAAATCAGGGCAAGACGCGCTGCGGTGCATCATGTGACTTGCTTACTGTTGCTCATTTCGTCTGTGAGACTGAGCATCCTTGTGATTGATGTGATTTATAGGTGCCATCCTGTAGCATGATATTTTGGGAACGAAGGAACGTCCGGTACATTCGTTATGCATTTTATCAGGGGTGTGACATGCACTTAATAGTAAAAAAGAACAGTTACCTCAACAATGAACAGGGTGAAGGCGCACACTGCCTTCCAGTATTGCTGCGTGCTATAACGACAACACACAAATGCGCACTTGCATTGACATGCTGACACATACAGGTGAATGAACATATATATGAGCTCAATGGAAGAAGCAACAATTAACAACCATAATTACACATCGCCTTAACTTGGTGAAATTTCTTCCGTTCAATATTATTATTCAGTATAAATAAACAAAATGCAAATCCCCAACTAAAACACTGGAGGTGATGCGCCACAACCCATATCTCCGGTGCCACCCCATAAAACCAAGTCATGGCGCACGTTTATATAAAAAAGATCAAACACAAACGTAGGTACAAGCACAACCATCATTAGTCATGCTATTCCTATGCATGACACCCTTTCTTCTTGCAGTTGTTGTTGCAGTCATCGTTACAGGTGGTATTGCACTGATTGAATATGCTGTTAGTGCAAGCTTGGCAATCTGTGTAGTTGTCGGTGAGGCTGCTGCAACGTTCTTGAGCTATGGTGTTGCAGTCACAAGTGCATGATGTGCTATTGCTACTGCAGCAGGTACCCTCGGCTTTGCACTGGTCCAAGATCTGCCTCTCACAGCCCTCCCGAGGGTTGTAGCAGGTACCACTGCAGGAGTTTTTAGCCTCCTCGTTGCACTTGGTACTGCACAACGTCCCACAGTCACTGCATAAAGGCCTCGGATTCCCCAGAGACGACATAATCAGCATGGAGAAAACAGCAACAGCAGCAAGAAAGGAAGCTCCACCTGCAGCCATTGTTGCCGAGCAAGCTTTGTGTGGCCAGAGAGATAGCTAGATATGAATGAGATGGGCTGGTGACTGCATGATGGAGCGCCTGATTCTATTTATAAGCTACTAGGCAAGCTTCCAGTGGAGGGTAGATCTAGACTTAATTATATGGATGGATGACGATCTAATGTTAACCCATCTAGGTTACGATGGCTAAAAAACAATAGAAGTTGGCTCGAGGAGGAGTATATCATATTCACCCTCACCGGTCTCTATTAATTTTTTTTTTGAAAGCCACCGGTCTCTATTAATTGCCTGCACGTCTACTAGAGAGCTGTAATCAAAGGATTTAAAATGGCTTGATAACACTGTTTTTGGGACATATAGTACCATAACAATCACTTGAATGCTCAAGAAAAAAAAATCACTTGAATGGCTTGACAATTTAGCTTGAAGATAAACTAAATGTACAATTTTTGGTACTACCCAGGATTACTGCTCAACACGTACTGGTTGTTTTACAAAGCATTGAGTTTTTTTTCGCGGTTGCGAAGCATTGACTTTGACAAGATCAAGATCCGTGGATTATCCTAAATTTGATTACTTGAGCAACTTGCTTTTAGTCAATGGCACATTAATTGCCAGATCGCACCAAATGACTTTGAATATATCTTTTGGGGCAAGAGGAATTGGCTTTTGATTGGATCTTCTCTAGCACAGCCGGCTAGAATTAGCACCCATCAAGCGGTGTGACTCCGCTCAAAAAAAAAAATCAAGCGGTGTGACGTGCACTTAATAGTATAGAGAAGACGACATGCATGCACGTCGACTAGTTGACTCCTACCACTCAGATGCATGAACGGACTTTAGTTCATACCGCAAACTAAATACACCCTCGGTTCCTATATATGTCTTTTTTTATTTCTATATGAAGTATATACAGATGCATATAGATGTATTTTAAAGTATATATTCACTCAATTTGCTTCGTATGTATCTCATATTGAAATTTCTAAAAGGACTTATATTTAGGAAGAAAGAAAGTACACTGTTAGATCCTCCTCGAAAAAGTCTACACTCTGTTAGATCGTGTCAAAGATGGTTTAACCATACTAAATCCGGCGGATCCCTCGGTAGGGTATTCTTGCTAGGCGATTGGGCTGGATGGTAATAGGAGGCATGGTTTTAACCGGGTTCGGGTTCTTGCCGTGGATATATTATCCTACTCATGCTCGTATATATTGCTTTGGGGTGTGTATAGATGAGTATCAAGGGATTGTAATGTGTCTATTGACGAGTCTATCCACGACCTATATAACATACCAGAGGTCCTAGTGCTATAGATCGTAGTCGGCTATATCAGTGGAGGTAGAGTCGTCCACAGCTCTTATCTTCGGATTCTACATCAAGTCTTCCGGAAGCACTAATTAAAGAGTACCCCTTTGAAAGATCACTCCCACCTTGCCAGGTTGCGACAAGTGGCGCGCTGCATGTTCGCCACTTGTCATAACCCAGGAGTTTCCCCTTTTTTGTAGATTCGTTTATTCATAATATTTTATCTCTTACACCGTGCGACCAAATCATGAAACGTTTTCACCGTTGGATCCCTCGTATCAAGATTTTCAAAACTAGATCTCATGTTAATAGATTTCGACGACCTTTTTTTCATGAGAAAACCGGACAAAAAAACGAAACGGGGGTATGTTTTTTTTCCTTTCCGAAGAGGCATGCGTGTTTTCCATTTTCGAGAGGCACGGTCATGCCTCTCGCGGACGCAAATCCGTGCCTCCATAAGAAGTAAATCCGTATCTCTCGCGGAATGAAATAAAAGAAAACGTGTTTTTCCCTTTTTGAGGGGCACCACCATGCCTCTTGCGGAAGCAAATCCGTGCCTCCACGAGAATTAAATATATGCCTCTCGCGGAACAAAAAAAAACAAGAAAACACCTTTTTCCAAGAGGCCCGATCGTGCCTCTAATGGAAGGAAATCCGTGCTCCACTAGAAGTAAATCCATGCCTCTTATGGAAGGAAATCCGTGCTCCACTAGAAGTAAATCCGTGCCTCTCACGGAACCAAAAAAATTGCACTTTTTTCCTTTTCCGAGAGGCATGGCCGTGCCTCCCGCGGAAGCAAAATCATGCCTCCACGTGAAGTAAAACCGTGTCTCTCGCGGAAAAACACATGTTTGTTTTCCTTTCCGAGAAGGACAGCCATGCCTCTAGCGGAAGCAAATCCATGCCTCCACGAGAAGTAAATACATGCCTCTCGCCGGACGAAAAGAAAAAAAAAATATGCTTTTGCATGCAATTTTTTTAAAAATACAACTTTTGGTTCAAATCCTAACAAAAGCCAATGGAAAACAGACAAGCCAATTTTTTTCATCTACAAGCCGGGAACACGTACAGAAAATAAAATAAAATAAATCCGAAAGGAGTGCACAAAGCGCAACACATCGAAGCGGCTGAGAGCGTGCGAAATGGCGTGCTCCCAACCCACCCAAAGTGACCCTTGCGCGGGCTCCCGGATAAGTACTCCTCAATTAGTTGCTCTTCAAGTCTCCCGAAGTTTTCATATAATTCACCGTGGGCTGTCAAAAATGGCCCAGGATGAAACCTACCTAAAGGTCCTCGGTCAGCCCACCAGGCCGGGAACAAATATAGTGAGTGACCCCTGGCCCGAGACAATATCACCATGCATGTGCCATCCCATGACGGCTATCCCTGAAACTACCGAAGTGATGTTATGGAAACCGCAATGTATATCTCCGTGACATGCACGGAGATTGGGCATCTAAGCGGAAGCAGCAGTCAAGTACTTGACTTGCATGCTAATCTCTAACTTTGCAAACAACTGTACATGAAAACCATTTAGCCCTATAGCCGGCTATTTAAAACTTTAATGTTAGTAGGAATCTTTTGTACTATTATCGGTGCATGATGTCACAGCCCTGATGGATCCAAGACACACTGGAAGTTCCTTCATCCCCAAATATCATCACATGATCGGACATATGAATCGATTACAAGGATGCCCACAAACGAAAGGAACAAACCTGATTGAAACGACGCACCGATCACCGCATCTTGCCTGTGTGCACCCCATGGCCGTCCATACATATACAATATGTGGCTGATAGGCATCCATGGTCCATGTCCTAAATGAAACTGAATAAGGAGAGAAAAATCCTGCAATTATAATTTTTTACCATGCCTTTGTCGAACATAAAATTCAGCAATAATACGGTACATCAATTTATTTTCTTTTTGTGCGCAACCCCCAGTCTCTTGTAATCCTGTGTTATTTCTTTCAGATTATGTTTAATCGACGACATGAGCATGAGCTTATCAATAGCAAGAAGTGAACGTCGGTGTTTGTGCGTTTACACCAGTATTTCGTAGCGATGGAAAGGTAAGAAACTCTGGTATTATACATGGTTGGAGAAAGCAATCTGTGAGTAGTATTGTTGCAACATTAATGGTAAATCACATTGTGTGAGTATGTATGAACTTGAAAAGCTGTCTCATGCATCTCAGGATTTAGAGACCCGGATTCATCCTCCATCATCTTATAAGTACACATCAACGTGAAAAGAAAAGTCTTTTTTTTTTCAGGCTCTGTATACTAATTTGCTGCACAGGCTATGTCGTTCTTGCAAGCTTTGCTGAATCATGAGTAGAATGTGATTTACGTAGAAAAGAAGAATTCCTGCAACAGCATACGAGAATAAGTGGCATGGTGAAGGTGCGCCTCACATTAATTCCAATATTATTGGAGAATACAATGACACACAAATGCATACTTGGATGGACAAGCTGATGTATACAAGCCAGTGAACACCTGCGAGGTGGATTTGCGCGAGCTCTGTAGACAAAGGAATAAATAACAAGCATAGACGAAGGAATAAACAACAAGAAAAAACCCTGACAAAAAATTAAAAAAAATTATAACAAGCAAAAGCGCTGGAGGTGATGTGCCACGACCCATTACTGCTGGGCCATTCCACAAAACCAGGTCATGGCGACTACAGAAATCGATATACGTATGACTACGACGAGCCATGTAATATCCCATGCAAGGCACCCGGTCGATCGATTGCATGTTATTCCTATGCGTCGCACCCTTTTTTCTTGCACTTGGTGTTGCAGTCACTGACACAGGTGGGATAGCACTGGTCGAACATGGCACGCTTGCAAGAATCACAACGTACAGAGCCGTCGGTAACGCTGCTGCAACGTTCTTGAGCTACGGTGTTGCAGTCACAAGTGCAGGTGCCGTTGCTGCTGCAGCAGAAACCATCTCTGGTGCAGCCATCGAAAACCTGCTTCTGGCAGTCCGCCCGAGGGTTGTAACAGTTACCGCTGGTGTTGCAGGAGGTGTTAGCCTCCGCGTTGCAGTTGGTACTGCACAACGTCCCACAGTCACTGCATAAAGGCTTCGGATTCCCCAGGGACGACATAATCAGCATGGAGAAAACAGCAACAGCAGCAAGAAAGGAAGCTCGACCTGCAGCCATTGTTGCCGAGCAAGCTTTGTGTGGCTAGAGAGATAGCTAGATATGTAGAGCAAGAGAAGGGTTCAAGATAAGAGATGTGAACAAGATGGCTGCTGACTGTATGATGGAGCACCTGATTCTATTTATAGGCTACTGGGCAAGCTTCCAGTAGAGGGTAAATCTAAACTTAATTATATGGATGGACGACCATCTAAGCCGTAAACCGTGCCATGTTACAATCTGACTAATAAAGCACTAGAATTGCGCGATAGCACTGTTCTCGGGACATACAATACTTGAATGGCTTCACAATTCAGCTTGACAATAAAATAAATGTACAATTTTTTGGTACCCCGGATTACTGCTCAACACATAGTTGTTTTACAAAGCACTGATTTTTATATCCCGGTTACGAAGCATTGACCTTGAGGCTGGTCGTAATGGGAGTATCATAACTAGTATCATGCATGCCAAGTAGGCAATTTTGATGATGTGGCATAGAATTAAATGAAGAAAGAGATGGTTGAGTATCATACAATGATACCGTATCATAATAAATGCAATGCTACTATATGTCATGCATGACAATAAATAAAGTCATCTATGATACTAGTACATAATACTATGCATTAGGGAGGTACTATCACACACTAGTATCATATGCATGATACTAACTTATGATACTATCCATTACAAACATCCTGAGAAAATCAAGATCGGCGGATCATACTCAATTTAATTGCCAGATCGCATGAATTGACTTTAAATACTGTATTTTTTGGCAAGAGGAATTGAGTTTTGATTGGGTCTTCTAGTCCGGGCGTCGTGCATCCATCGAGGCTGTGACGTGCACTTAATGGTATAGAGAAGATGCGTAACTTGCATGCACGTCGACTAGTTGACTCTTAGCACAAACTCTGTGTCAGATGCATGAACCGACTTTAGTTCATACCGCAAACTACAAGTACTCTGTTAGATCCTCCTCTTTGAAAAAGTCTGCACCTCTGTTAGATCACGTAAAAGATTGTTTAACCAGTTGTCAAAGCTAAATCCAGCAGATCCCTCGGTAGGCTATCCTAGCTAGGTGATTTGAGCTGAATGGTAGCAGGGGCCGAGGTTTTATCAAGGTTCATGCTTTCATGGAGAAGATAATACCCTACTCGTGCTCGTATATGTTGCATTGGGTGTGTACAAAGTATGAGTGAATATTGAGAGATTGTAATATGTCTATCGACAAGCTTAGCCGTCGTCTTATATAGCAATACCGGGGTCCAAGGGTTATTCTAGATCCTAGTCGGCTATGTCGATGGAGGTAGAGTCCTCCACGGCCCCCGTATCTTTGAATTGTACGCCATGTTTTCTAGAGTTTTTGTATAATCCAACGTGGTCTGTCCAAAGCCGTCCAGGACGAAACTGACCCTGGGATCCTCAGCCTGGCCCACCAGGCCTGGAAAAGACGTGGCGAGGGACCCCTCGGCCAGCACAGCATCACCATGCATGTTCCTAATTGCGAGCACGGGGATGACAAACAATGGTAAAGAACGATTGCTCCTCGTCCTCATCGTTGGCTCCTACAATCCTGCTCGTCGGCAACCATGGCGGAAGAAGGCGAGATCCCAGCTTTCTCGCCGACCATGCTCGTCTTGTAAGGACGCAATGTGGAAAGAGAAACGAATGTCCAGTGCGGGCCTGGGTCTCATTGTTCTAGGCATCAACCTGTGAAAAAAATAGCACGCTCTAGCAAAATGGCGCCGGCCTTAAAACCTGCTATTAGCATGCTATAGTGTGCTATTAGTAAGATATTGTATAATGATTTATTTAACGCGCCATTTCTGAGCACACTTTAGTATGCTATAGAGCATTATTTTAACAGTGGCACAAATCCAATCGGTGATAGTTATACCGTAAGTTTCCCTAAAAAAAGTTATACCGTAATTATACGGCACCACTAATGAAGGAATAACACAAGGTATTTATTGGCTGATCCTCTCGAAGCAGACATTTGGCCCGGTTTATGTTAATAAAGTTAAACGGGCCACACAATAAGGTATTAAGGAAATTCTCAGAAGCTAATTAAAAGAAAACACGATAAAACCCGCCAAGAACACTAAAAACACACAAAGAGTGCACTACTGAATGGAATACCTCTAGCATGTCGCTGAGAAGAAGCACAAGACACACATCATCATAATAGAGATACATCCACACTGATTGACGACGCCCCAACAAGGTCACGATGCAAATCGGCACTATAGGCACGTCTCCCAAAGCAGACAAAGACTTTCATCCTGAGTGTCAGAGGGTACGGAGAGGGCAATGACGAAGCCCCAAGAGGAAAGCGATGCCAACAGGTGTCGCCGCCAGCGCGGAGACACAAAGCTTTCATGATAGGTTTGGTGTCTCTTATTTTCATGCTTTAGTAGAACTTGTGCCTCCTCCTGAATGTCGTTTTACGTGTGGTCTACTTGTATAGCAATTTCCTGACCACGTTGTATGGATTCATCCAATTGACAACGACAACGAAATATTTGTTTGTCATGGGCAAAAAGAAATGTTTCCATTCTAATAATAACTTTACTTAAGAATGGCTAAATGTTTTGCTTTGGTCATGCATGAAAAATGTGTTCATGTAATAGCTAGATTATTTCTAAATGTGAGGAAAATTTTCCATGAGACAACGAAATATTCCAGTAACACAAACCCAGTGTTTCCATGATGCAAACCAAAGATGCTCATACTTTTCACGTGAACAAGAAAATCGACAAACACAACGTAATCGTCCTTTTCTAAAAAAAACTAACGCAATGTTCACGAAGCAAACCGAGGATCATACTTTTCACGTGGATAGGAAAATCGACGAAGGCAACATGACACAATTGTAGGAACCTTGTCGGGAAGGAGCTCCATGGTAGGTGAACCTTGACGACGACACCATGGTCGCATCGAACTAGCGGGCGTTGTATGTGCCAACCAAGGGGACTAGCACTGAGGATAGCTCTGAGGAAAAGCATTGGTGTTTGCCACCGGTGATCATGGCCATGTAAGATGGAGGGGGAGCATCCTTGGTGTCTTCGAACATCTTGTTGGTGCAGAGACTGGGTGTAATTGGTATCTTCACGATATTAATATACCCCCTTATCAGAAAACAGACGGGGGGGACCATAGTCGGTCACTGTTTTGGCAAACGTGCATGCTAAAGATAATTTTGTCACGGATTCCTCCATGGATCGACACATGGTTTTAAGTCGGTGAACACTTAGCCGCTCTAAATAAAATACAACTGGTGTTAATGGGATATAGAAAATTAGCTAAAAGAAAGAGGAGAATAAAAAAGCTTTGCACACACAAGTCGGTGTGATAATTGCTTGTCAAGAACTTAAGCCTAGCTGGACAGCCGAGTGCACCTTTTTGCATGTGCAACTCAAGCCTAACCAAACGGCTGAGAGAGCTTTTCATCAAAGCATAGCGCGACCTCCTCCACGCACACCGCGCACTGCTGCTCGCTCGTCTCGCAGGCAGCCCGGACGCATGCCAGGCGACAAGGCCAGGTCCCTGTTCCTCTCTTCCTCTTCTTCGGCCTTGCGCAGGAGCAGCGCCTAACGTTCCTTTCAATCGCAGCAAGCACGCCCTGATCTATGGCATGATATCCGTCAAATTTATGCCTCGTCTGAATTGCCTCGTGTTTTTTCTTCTGAAAATGATTCAGATAGTACAAAGCATCTCACAAATAATAAAAATGCTTCGATATTCCGAGACCACCGAATGATCGCCACCGTCTCCAGAATAAGATGCCGACGAGCTGTTGTCGCTGGTCCCCTACCATAGCCGGATTGACTATATCGATGACAACAGGGTAGTCTTCATACACGTGCCCTAAGGACCAACACCGTGGGGCCGCAGTTGCTCCCGTTGAACTCTTGAATAGATATGAAGCATTTGACACTAAATCTCGTCACATGACGAGAAACATAACCTCACCGCTCAAAGGATACGGTATGAGTCTACGTCGAAACTCCGTCGACTACGTCCAAATGAACAGACTCAAAGAAGAAGAGCCGCCATCCGCCTGAGCGTCGAACCTGTGAGGATTAAAAAAATCTAAGGTAAACTACTAACCGAAGTGGAAGCACAGAGATTCGCATCCCCGGCACCGGCCACCGGAGCGGCAGACAGAAAAGGACGAATCCATGGACTTGTCGACAAAACCTGAAGGACAGAGTTTGCCATGGTCTTCAAGGGGTAAAGAAGGAAAAACAAAATAAGTTTGATCGCATCACGTTTCCGTTGCCTATGGTAGTATCACCGAGCTTGACATACACCGCACGGTGCCAAACAGAAATGTCGGCCAAGTGCTCACGGCAGCGGATGGCAGACCTTCCCTATCTACTACTCTATCTGTATCAAATGTAAGACAATTTTTAGAGGGAGCATATCCAAATATGAGTCTCTCCACTACTATAAAGAAAATGCATGTACAGCGAAAGGGTTGGAAAGAATGTTGAGTAGGAAAATGGACAAATGGTAACGTGACATATGCGAGGACGTCGGAGCACAACTGTAGGAACCTTGTCGAGATGGAAATCAATTATAAGCCAGTGCTTATAATCAGGGGCGGTCCCAGCCCAAGAATTCAGCAGGGGCCCAGGTGACCAGGGCACAAATATTTGGCAAAGTGGGGGCCAACTAGTGAACTATTGGGCTTCAAAGCAGTGAAAATGGAAATTGAGTGGGCCCCACTCAGCCCAACGTGGGTCTGCCCTTGCTTGTAGTCACATCTAGATGTAATTTTTACTTATGGTTTCTCTTTACTACCTTGATAGTTGATGAATACATTTTCTCATGAAAAAATAAATAAGCCATTGAAGCTTGGCGACGAAGCCACATGAAAATGCCTAGAATGGGAACTGACAATGATGCAAGCGCAGTGAGGAGGCGGCGGAGCTGACCGACACTGATCAACTTAGGGACTTGCACTACTACTGCTTTTTCCAGGTTATAACGCGAACATGCAACGCTGGTGG